GAGTTTGATGCACCAGAGCTGGGCAGGATTCTAGACATCCCAAGTGAGGGCTATGATGATTACACTAGGCAAAGGTGGCCTTGTCTAGATGATCTGCCCACAACACTCCAAATTACCAGGAACTTCTGTGACACAAAGGATGCTGAAGAGGTGCCTGAAGCACGATTTGTTCAAAAGAGTGAAATGAAGCCAGAGCATAAAGTGCTCTTTGAGTTTGTGAACAAATGTCTTTTGCCTAGACAAAAGAGGAGGCACACTGCAAATTATATGGACCTGGTTCTCATGGAGTGTCTTGTGAGGGGTAAACAAATCAATTGGCCTGCTTTCATAGTCAAATTGCTGGACAGAGTCATAAATGGTTCAAAGGCTCATGCTACTCCTTATGGATTCATTTTGACAACTGTACTGGACAGGCTGAACGTCCCTTTGAAGAAGTGGGAAAATGCCTCTAGTAAGGAGCACTTTGGAATCAAGACTCTCCAGGCCTGTGATTATCTGCTAAGTGTTGCCCCTGTTGAACCTGGTTCATCCGTAAAAACTCCAGTGAATAGCAAAGTTAGAGCTTTGATGCAAGAATGTGGGACCAAAGATGCTGAGATTGCTAGGCTTCAGGCTCGAGTAGCTGAATTGGAAGAAGAAAGGAATGGGCTGAAGGCAGAACTTGCAAAAGAAAAGGAAAAGAGTGAAGGGATGCTACAAACAATGCTCAACCTACTCCAATCCCAACCCTCCAGTTCTTCTAAGCCTTAGCCATCTTTGTCCTAGTTCCGAACCATTTCAGTTACCCCCAGTGACCCAGATTAGGGATTTTTCTTGTTTTTGCTCATGGTTGGTAGTTTTTGTTCTTTCTTTTTGTGGACTGTACTGTAGAAGCAATGCCTTATCAATGACAATTTGCATTTCTCTTGTTTTGTGATGATTCTGCTCTTAATAGTTATTTTTGTCAAGTTGATTTTTGATTATCTAAAGCATGCTTTCACTTGCAGTTGCCCCAGTGGCCATGAGTAATGATTAATATTCTGGGATTCACATATTTATGCAACTTTTCGATGATGCCAAAAGGGGGAAGATATTGTGCTTTAAAAGAAATTGTGTCTATTTTCTGAACAGTGATGTTTATGACCTAATTAAATCTGGCCCTTAATGATAAGTAAAATTTTCGAGTGATGATATTTTAGCTGAGTTCCACAGGTTCTATAATCAGTAAAAGCACAGAGTTTGTCATTATCAAAAAGGGGGAATTTGTTGGCCCAAGATCAGTTGAAGTTTTGAAGAATGACAAACGAACTCAGTAAAGGACCCGGTTAATCTAAGGAGACACAGTTGTTATGGCCCATACACATGAGATGCACGTGAAGAAGATAAGTCCTTGAGATCAAGCAGCAATATCTTGATGAATATCTTCTGAACTGATCGAAAAGATTGCATATAGGATAAGGAGTTGAAGTCTCCTTATGAAAAGAGAATTACATCCGGATCAAGAATATGGATTAGGAGTTAGAGTTGTTCTTGGACTCGAATTGTCAAAGGATCCACAATTCGAGTTCTTATCAAACTCTGATTACTAACTCTATAAATATAACGATTGTTCTCTTTTACAGGCGATTGCACATACGCTGAAGTTAAACCAAATTGATAGCAAAAGAGCTAGGCAATTGTTGCAAGCAATTTGTGTGTGATACAAGTGTGCAAATCTGAAGCTACAAGAACTAAGTGTGAAGAACCAATTCCATTGTGTCTTTCTTTATTTCTAGTTCAATTGTAGTAGGTGTTTTAACATTGTACCTTTCCAGCTTTCTTAGAAGAAATTGTATTAGCTGCATTGAGTATTCAAGTTAGAGTTAACTTGAAAGTGTCGCAACAGTTGAGGCTGTGTGCTACACTAGGATTAGAGTTAATCCTTAGGTTTACATAGAGTTTTGTAAATGCTGTTTTTGGCTCATTAAAGTTTAGTGGAAGTTTGGGAAAATCCTACTGAGTAGTAGGTCGTGGTTTTTTCACCTTTTGAGCCAGGTGTTTTCCATGTAAAAATCTCTGTGTTCTTTATTTCTGTATTTTAATTCCGCAAACAGTAGAAGTTAGAAAACCTAGAAGAACCAGGTTCTTCTAGTGCGAAAATTAGGTACCACACAAATCACCCCCCTCTTGTGTGGTATTGACGTCTAAAACATCACTTACCGAGCCAGATAACGAAAAGCCAAAATATCCGCAATCGGGCGAAGATCACGGCGGAAATCCCGGCACATATCAAGAAGAGGCCGATTAATTATCTAATCATGAGATTTCTTACCTCATATAGAATTGTATCAAGAGTAGGACTCCCCTACTATATAAATGGGGTCTTATCATTTGTAAAACACATCATTCTTACGCAATACAAATCAGTATACTGTTATTTTCTAGCTTTCATTATCTTGTTACTCTGTTCATAAGTCAGTTGAAACATCTTTTGGTTCAAGGGTGACTGAACCCAAGAGCCAAGGCTATGCAATTTGTGTGGTTTGCATTTATTCTTTTATCATCAGTTTCAATATCAATTTATTCTTCTTAATTTGTACTAAGTGATACCACGTATCCTTAAAACCACGTAAAAATTCAATTATTATCCGATTTTAGGGTAAACAGTTTGGCGCCCACCATGGGGCTATGGATAATAGTAGTTACCTGATACAAACTTTCATGACACACACAATTTTACACTTGTTCTTTGAAGTATCTTTGATTACAGGACTAAAAAATGTCAGACTCTCAAATCAACACCTCTACACGTTGACAATGGTTTCGACCACCACGGCGAAAATGATAACATAGCACCAGGGAACGATGTACCCCCAGTTGGCCTCGATTGAGTTCCGAATGTAGATCCTATCGATGTCAGTTCACATGTATCCATCCCACGAAAATTTGGCCGTCGATCCCGAAGGCAGCGTCCGTGCCGATGCCCGATCAGCTGCTCAAAGTGCACGTGGCGGTAAAGATGGCGGAATCAGCCTGCAGAAGATCTTCGAAATGGTGCAGGCTCAGCAGGCAGCAACAGCCCAAATCCCAAACCAGAATCACACATCGAGCAGGGTCGAACTCGAGCCATCCCAGGAAGTTGTACATAGGGTTGAATTAGTTTCAAGGAAATCGAGCGAGAAAGAATCGGAGACCAATCCTGCTATCATGAAGATGCTCGAAGAACTGCCAAGCGAATCGAGTCGGGGGGGGGGGGGGGGGGGGGGGGGAGATCGAGGAAAACAACAAGAAGGTGGAAACTTATAACTCCAGTATCGATCGAATCTCGGGGGCACCGCCAATATTGAAGGAACTGGATTCCAAAATGTTCGTACAAAAAGCTTTCCCCCCGAGTGTGGCTCCGAAGCCAATCCCCAAGAAGTTCTGCATGCTCGAGATTCCTAAGTATAATGGAACGACCGATCCGAATGAGCACCTCACCTCTTACACGTGTGCTATCAAAGGGAATGATCTAGAGGATGACGAGATCGAATCTGTCTTGCTAAAGAAATTCGGGGAGACCTTGTCAAAGGGAGCTGTAATATAGTACCATAATTTATAGCCTAATTTTATTGACTCATTTGCTATGCTTGAAGATTCTTTCATAAAGGACATGCTAGGGCCATCAATCTCGAAACCAGGAAGTCGGACCTTTTCAAGGTAAGGCAGAAGGACAACGAGATGCTCAGAGAATTCGTGTCTTGATTCCAAATGGAATGGATGGACTTGCCACCGGTCGCTGATGATTGGGTTGTTCAAGCCTTCACTCAAGGACTCAACGTTCGAAGTTCAGTGGCTTCACAGCAGTTGAAGCAGAATTTGATAAAATACCCGGCTGCCACTTGGGCCGATGCGCACAATCGGTATCAATCAAAGATCAGGGTCGAGGACGATCAACTTGGGGCTCCTTCGGGGTTTGTTTATCCTATCAGACCCGTCGATAGAATCAAGAGGGATATTGACCCAGAACCAAGGTCGAATAGAGATCGATATCAGCCGTTTAATGGAGATCGTAAGAGTAGCGGATCTGGACGAAACTCTACACAAAATGAAAGAAGAAATGATCGAGGTCAAGGTTCACGGGGACTCATGAGCAAGAACGGCTTCAATAGATCTATCGGTCCCAAAGAGGCACCACGATTATCGGAGTACAACTTTAATATGGACGCGGTTGCCATCGTATTGGTCATTGGATGCATCAAAGATACCAAGTGGCCTCGACCTTTGCAAATTGATCCAACACAGAGGGATCCTAACCAAATATGCAAATATCATGGCACACATGGCCATAGAACGGAGGACTGTCAACAATTGAAAGAATTTCTGAGTGACCGAGCTAAGAATCATTTCAAATACAGAGATTCCAATAAACAAAATGAACAAGATGAGCCCCAGCACGTCATCCATATGATCATCGGAGGAGTCGATATTCCTCAAGTTTCGATGATAAAACGCACCAAAGTATCAATCACAAGGGAAAAGCGGACTCGATATTACATACCAGAAGGGACTCTATCTTTCAATGACGAGGATGCGGAAAGGATCATGCAACCCCATAATGATGCGCTAGTAATTTCTGTACTTATGAATAAAACTCGAGTTAAAGGTGTGCTAATTGATCCATGTAGCTCGGCCAATATCATCTGATCGAGGGTCGTAGAACAACTCGGCCTAGAGGACCAGATCGTAACTGCGGCCCAAGTGTTGAACGGATTCAACATGGCTTGTGAAACTACTAAGGAAGAAATAAAGTTGACGGTAAACATAGCCGGTACCACCCAGGAAACCAAGTTTTTTGTAATCGAGGGGGACATGAGATACAATGCCCTGTTCGGGAGACCATGGATCCAGAACATGAGGGTCGTGCCCTTGACCCTTCACTAGGTATTAAAATTTCCAACACTAGAAGGGATAAAGACGGTTTACGGGGAACAACCTGCCGCAAAGGAGATGTTCGCCGTCGATGAAGTAATTCCAATATCAACACTCTTATCAACAAAGGACTAAGGTTCGAAAGCGAAACAGGAAGCCAAATAGTAATCATTGATGCCAGCCTCGACCAAATCGGACAAGCAAGGGATTGACGAGGACGACGACTACGGGGTTCCTCGATCCTTTATCGCCCCCGATGATTCCGATGCTACCAAATCAACGGTCGAAGAGCTGGAGTAGGTTGTGCTGATCGAACATCTGCACGATCAAAAGGTATACTTGGGCACGGGGTTAACTCTCGAGCTTAGGAAAAAACTCACTCAATTTCTTACAGCTAATATGGATTGTTTTGCTTGGTCTTATCTCGATATGATACGGATTCCACCGGAGATCACTACTCACAAACTGAGCTTGGACCCAAAGTTCCGTCCGGTAAAGCAGAAAAGGAGACTCTAGTCCGAGATCAAGCATGCCTTCATCAAGGACGTGGTAACTAACTCTTTAAAATAGGGTCCATCCGGGAGGTCAAATACCCGGAACGGTTAGCAAACGTAGTAGTAGTTCCTAAGAAAGGGAACAAACTAAGAATGTGTGTAGATTATAAAGATTTAAATAAGGCATGCCCAAAGACTCTTACCTTTGGCTAACATCGATCTCATGATCAATGCCACGGTCGGCCATAAGATCCTCAGTTTTCTCGATGCCTACTCTGGGTACAACCAAATACGGATGAACCCAAATGATCAAGAAAAGACCTCTTTCATCACTAAATATGGCACATACTGCTATAACATAATGTCATTTGGATTAAAAAATACTGGTGCCACTTACCAACGACTAGTAAACCGAATGTTCGAAGAACAAATAGGGAAATCCATGGAAGTTTACATTGACGACATACTAGTTAATTCCTTGTGAGCAGAGGACCATTTAAAGCATTTGCAGGAAATCTTCAGTATATTGAAGAAGTACAACATGAAGCTGAACCCAGAAAAGTGCGCGTTCGGAGTCGGATAGGGTAAATTCCTCGAGTTGATGGTGTCCAATCGAGGAATCGAGATCAATCCCGACAAAATCAAAGATATTGAAGATATCACGGTAGTGGATAATGTCAAGGTCGTACAAAGGCTGAGCGGGCGCATTGTAGCATTGGGACGATTCATCTCGAGGTCTTCCGATAAAAGTCATCAATTTTTCTCGTTGCTAAAGAAGAAAAACAACTTCACATGGACCCGGGAATGCCAACGGGCTTTATAAGAACTTAAGTGATATTTATCGAGCCCACCATTGCTTCACACGCCGAGGGCAGACGAACGACTATACTTGTATCTAGCGGTATCGGAAATAGAGGTAAGTGAAGTCCTAGTCCGAGAAGAATATGGTACGCAATTTCCAATTTATTATGTTAGTAGGACCTTAGGTGAGGCCAAAACTAGATACCTTCACCTAGAAAAATTGGCACTCGCCTTGCTAAGTGCCTCTAGAAAACTGAAACGAGATTTTTAGTGCCACCCTATATGTGCTGTGACAACCTACCCTTTACAAAACATAATGCATAAACCCAAACTCTCAGGACGATTGGCCAAATGGGCCGTAGAAATCAGTGGGTACGATATCGAATATCAACCCCGAACAGCCATTAAATCTCAAATTTTGGCAGATTTCATGGCCGACTTTGTCGTCCCTAATACCCGAAGTCGAAAGAGAGTTGCGGGTAATCTCGGGAACGTCTTCGGGAATCTGGACCCTCTTTACATGATAGTGCCTCGAACGTAAAAGGGTCCGGACATAGCATCGTACTGAAATCGCTTGCAGGCAATATATTTAGACAGTCTATTAGAACTGTAAAATTGACTAACAACGAGGCCGAATATGAGGCCATGATTGCAGGCCTCGAACTAGCCCAAGGCTCGGAGCGGAGGTGATTGAAGCTAAATGTGACTCCCTCCTTGTAGTAAACCAAGTAAACGGAACGCTCGAGGTCAGAGAAGAACGAATGCAAAGGTACTTAGACAAGTTACAGGTAACATTACATCGTTTTAAAGAATAGACTTTGCAGCATGTGCCCCGAGATAAAAACAGTGAAGTCGATGCCCTTGCAAACTTAGGTTCGTCGGTCGAAGACGACGAGCTCAACTCGGGGGCGGTCGTACAACTCATAACGTCGGTAGTAGAGGAAGGTCCTACCGAAATAAACTCCACAAGTTTAACCTGGGATTGGAGAAATAAAACATAGAGTATTTGAGGATCGGGAAACTTCCTTCAGACCCTAAGGAATCGAGGGCCTGCGCACCAAGGTAGCCCGATTCAGCTTGTCCGAAGACGGAACCTTGTTAAGAAGAATGTTAAATGGCCCACCAGCAATATGTCTTGGACCGGGAGATACTGAATATGTTTTGAGGGACGTTCACAAGGGCACTTGAGGTAATCATTTATGTGCCGGGGAGATGTTGCATTTGGTCTTATTGCCATGGCCATTCATGAAGTGGGGGATGAACATCGTCGGCCCTCTTCCATCGGCACCAGGTAAAGCTCAATTTGTGTTATTTATGACTCACTATTTTTCTAAGCGGGTTGAAGCATAGGCATATGAGAAGGTCAGGGAGAAGGAAGTCATCGACTTCATTTGGGACCACATCATATGTCGGTTCGGGATACCATCCGAAATTGTATGTGACAACAGAAAATAGTTTATCGGCAGTAAAGTGACCAAATTCCTTGAAGACCATAAGATCAAAAGGATCTTGTCGACACCTTATTACCCTAGTGAGAAAGAAAAAGCCAAATCGACAAACAAAACCATAATCCAAAACCTTAGGAAAAGGTTGACTGGCGCTAAGGAAAATGGAAAGAGATCCTGCCTGAAGTTCTTTGGGCATATCGCACAACATCAAAATCCAGTATCGGGGCTACCGCGTTCTCATTGGTTTATGGTTCTGAAGCTCTAATACCGGTCGAAGTCAGGGAACCAAGTATCAGATTTCGATATGCAACAAAGTAACCAAATGACGAGGCCATGAATACAAGCCTGGAGCTATTGGATGAAAGGCGTGAAGCTGACCTTGTTCGATTAGCCGCCCAAAAGTAACGGATCGAGAGGTAGTACAATCGAAGGGCCAACCTTCGATACTTTAATGTCAGGGACTTAGTACTAAGGAAGGTCACACTAAGCACCCGTAATCCAAACGAAGGGAAATTGGGTCCGAACTAGGAAGGAATATACTAGATTCTCGAGGTCTTAGGGAAAGGATCCTATAAGCTCGGAATGACAAACAGAGAGCAACTACCGAACAATTGGAACGTCACTCACCTTAAACAATAGTGTTGCTAAGGTATGACCCCATTTCATTTCTTTCTATTTTTGGACTAACACTTGCAGGTGGTCGACAAGGAATGGCATGAAGTCTTTAGGTCTGAAAGCACGCGTTGCACTCTTTTTCCCTTGAACCATTTTTGTCCCAATTGGTTTTTCGTCAAGGTTTTTAATGAGGCAACAGTGGATCGTGCTAACTTAGAATCAAAGGCCGATCATGAATCAGTGTCGAAGATAGCACTAACAGTATCCGAGGTTCCTCTACAATCAACCTCGAATAATGGGGGCATTACCCTTGGATATCAACTTTTTGCAAGGAAATTACTTCGTAATAAAAGGGTCTCGATAGGTAAGATTTGTTGTAAGGGCCAAACGGTCAAACAAACCATGCCCACATAGGTTACTCGAGCCCTGGCACAAAACATGTACGCATGTATAGTTATTTTCCACAAGAATAAGGAGAAGTGCTTTCCTTGCAATTATCTTATGTCTTAGAAAAATTTCCACTTTACAATTTCGTACTTTTGATCTCTTAAGGAAACGAGCTCAAGGGCCGATTATAAGCAGAGTTTGGATGATCACCGACCAAAGGACAAGTCTGTTCCTGCTTCGTTTTCGGTTCCCGATTCAATCTTCACCTTTCCTGAATGAAGAAAGAGAGTGAAAGAGAAGATATCAGTGCAATAGGTCCAGACTCGGGAACTGCCGTCCAAAAGATGCTCGAACAGATCAAACTATTAATCATCAGGGGCATAAGACCTTATAGGCAATCCCCGAATTTTAAAGGCCACGACCATACCCACTCGGGGACTGTTATCTTAGGCAAGCCTGGATAACTCGGGAAAGCAAGATCACTAGGCTACGCCCGAATTAAAAGGCTACGGCCGCGATAACACGGCTCAAAGACGTCCGAGAACCGTAACAAAAAATAGGCCTTCAAAAGTTTCATAACCGGTTTTAAAGGCTACCCTCGGCAAACTATAGTCTGAGTTACTTACTTTAAGAGAAGGTTGCCAGTAACACCGAACCTCCAAGATGACTCAAAATAATGTAAATGCAAGGTTGTTCGAACTTACATAACCTAAGCTATTTTATGCTAAGGCATTCCGTATTTTGTGAATACAAGTAATAAAGCAAAGGAAAAATCCGAAAGCCAAAAGGGAAAAGAAAGCCTTGTATATATTTACCCAAAAGTCTTTTACAGAGGCCAAAATGTCTTAATTCAAAAAATTTCAATGGCTGGAATGGCCTCAAAAAGATGTAAAAGAAAGAAAAAAAAGTATAGGCCTAAGTGGCATGATCTTCATTGGAAGCAATATCTCCGCCCTCGGGATCTACCCCGTCTTCAGACTCACTTAATCTCTCTGAGTCTTCTTCGGGAAAGGTTAGCTTTAGAGCCTAG